GTCACCAAACAAGAAGGCATCTGGTTATCATTTTTAAAAAGTTTCTAGACAATCCAAACCCAGTCAGATGGAATAAAAGTGGAATTATCCAATCTCTAAAACAGATCTGACATTCCAACTTCTGGTTACTAGAAAATGACTCTTCTATAGTTTATTTCTTGGAGAAATTAGATGCAGAACATAAATTTCCTTAAGGATCTTTACCCAGTGTTGCTCTTTTTAATGGTTGTTAATGCAATGCTGAGCTGAAAAACTTCAAATATGGTATCTGACATCTGACATCTGATTTCTGTAGTCTGCAGTACTCTGCACATTAGTTGATAGAGCAGTATCCAATCACATGTTGAGTCAAAGGTCACCATGCAGGCTTGGATGAGGTATTGTTAGGTATATGTATGTGTCTCTTGGTCCAACCTTGATACCACCATGTACTTTGGGCTTGCTCTTAGGCTGGATTTGAATCCCAGTTCAGCCAGCCAGTAACTGAGGGCTGTGGTCCATGTGTCCCGGGACTGGTCGTTAATTCTTGGTTGTAGGAATCTCTGATTTCTACTCATGTCTCAGTGACCAAAGTCCTCTGATGTGCAGACTTCAGCAAGATGATGTGCTTAGCAGAGTCGGTATTGCAGATAAGCAGCTGCCAGCCCCCACCTTCTAGGCAGAGACCAACTCCAGCCCCACCCTGGGAAACAAAACTCCCCAGAGTAGTGGCAACTTTCTTCTTGTAGGAATTAGAGTTCAAACAGCTCAAGAGTGAGGGAAGGTGGAAATGCCAGCTTTCTGCACCAAATACTCTGGAATAAGCTCTCAACATTCCCAGCTAGCCCCTTGCCTTGGCATTTGCAGTGTCTCTCTAAGATTATGTCGGCAGCGTGTTTAACATACACATCTTGTGTTATATATAGAGAGATTTGGAAGCACAAAGATAAGCTTTCCCAGAGACTGGATATGGCCAGATCTAGTTGGAAGGGAGAGGTAGCTTGCACTGCACTTGTGATTTTGCTTTACACATGACTTCATGACCCTTTGGTTTCCTAAGTTAATGATCTTAACATGTACCATGAGCCAAGGCTAATAATTATTGAGGCAGCCCTCAGTTAATGGAAGTAATTTTCAGGTTATTTGTGTACTACAATACACAGATGAATCATTTGTTCATTCATTCATTTGTTCATTCATTCATTCATTCATTCATGGCATGTTTGTTGGACATTTACTGGTGAGCTGCCAGAGAAACACACAAAGAATGGTTTCTTTACCTGCACAATTTGGAGAGAGGAGGGGCTATTTCTCTTGACCGCGCCATCCCCTAGCTCTGTAGTTATATAAATAACTGGGCACATAAGCACATTCCTATGTATACTGGGCTGAATTGGGGAGTTGTGATCATATGTTAAAAACTGCAGCTTTCAGGTTGAGTCCATGCTTTTGGCACCTGTGACACCACAGTCAACAGTGTGAGTCTGTGCTGCCTGGTGGCTCCTACCCGGGGGTACCCTGAGTGTGGAAAATCTGAGCACTGTGCATTTCCAAGCAGTGTTTAGCACAAACGTAGGTGGAGCTGATTTCCAATGAATGAAGGCTATTTAGAAGCAGTTTATTAGATCGGAGGCAGAAGTTATACAAAGAGAGGTTTGTTAAGCTTGTAGTAGCAGAGCAATAGGACATAAATTAACCATGTTTCCAACGCAAATGTTTATTTTCTGCCAAGATGTTCAATTTAATTTTAGTTTGGGACTGAAAGTGGGTGACCTCACATAGCACACACTGCCCTCTTTTTTGGGGGGGAGCTTTGAACTTTTGCAACCATTGTGTGCTTCTATAAATGCTTTTTGCTAAGGGCAGTTCAAGACTTTGCTGTGTTATTCTTATGTTAAAAACACATACTCATAGGGCTGGAGAGATGGCTCAGAGTTAAGAGCAGATAATGTTCTTACAGAGGACTCAAGTTCAAGTACCATTGCCTACATCGGGCGGCTTAGAACTGCTGGTTACTCCAACTCCAGGGGCATCTGATGCATTTGAGCTCCACTGACACCTGCACTCACATGCCCCGCCCCCTGCCCTGGCATGGTCATACACATAATTAAAAGTAAATCTTAAAACAGTAAAGAAATAAACATTTTAAACCACACTTGTAACTATTCCAAAGACTTCTCCATTCTGTTGGGTTTTGGAACCTAAAACACTATAAAGGTCTCTGTGTGACATGCATAGCACTTTTGAACTTAGAAGTCTAATTTTGGTGCTGTCTTTCTTTTCTTCATTGTTTATTTTGGGTAGTGATAAGACTTTGTAAACTTATGTCAAAAAGTATTCGGTTCATTATCCAGAAGTTTTTTTTTTTTAATAAAAATCAGATATTTTTTGAAATGTGTTTAAGATTCATACCCTGTAACGTGGCCAGGAAGGTAACCATAAAATCCACTGGCATTTGAATAACAGTGATTCTGAAGCTGCTTCTTTACAGGGACAGAAAATAAGAACCGCCTGAACATTTTTCTCAGAGACATTTGAAATTACAAATATTTAATTGGCTTAAGATCAAAAGCTCCTCGTGGTTGGCACACAGGGAGGCTGACCACCTCACTAGCAAGGACACCTTCCATAAAGAAAATAAATTGAGAGTATGAATGTGAAATTTAATAGCTGTTCCAACAGTAATTGACATTCTTGAAAACGTCACTAAGAAAATACCCCAGCGCGTGTGCGCCTGAAGTCTCATTGATTCCATATGCAAGCCGCTGAAAGATTTGTATATTTAGTTCTGGAATTTCCCTCTCTAGGCCCCTCAGCCAGATGCTGTGTGCTAATCCCCTATTTACACATTTAGGCTGACGCTGGGCAAACCCCTGGGGGAAGGCTGCTTCGGGCAAGTAGTGATGGCAGAGGCTGTGGGAATTGACAAAGACAAGCCCAAGGAGGCCATCACTGTGGCCGTGAAGATGTTGAAAGGTGAGTGTGTTTGGAGGGAGGTGGAGGGCCTTATCAAGAATCTTCCTTTGTGGCATGTGAACTCTGTAATGATGTGGGGTCAGAGAGCACATACTTGGCCTGGAAGTTGACGGGTTTTCAGGATAAATCAGCATCTGAGCAGACAATTTATCTTGAGCCATGTGTACTTAGCCAGTTTTATGAACAAGTGGTAGCCTGCTAGGTTGAGTAGCTGACTCCTTGTATAGGAGATTGTGCTTTTTCTCTCCCTATTTTCATGGATTTAGAAAGTATCCACCTACTTACAGGTTTAGAGGGGAGTTGGCATGGCAAAGCTGGGACCCAAACTTTTAACAAACAAACAGGGAGAAATAGGCATTTTGGGTGGAAACAAGAGGCTCAGGAAACACTGTCTTCATTTTTGCACAGAATATGGACCTGGAAAGACATGAGTCTGGAGACTCACTTAGAAACAAAACAGGGACAAACAGAATTGGAGCTGATGCGGGTCCTGGGGACATGAGTCCAGGATGCAGATATGTCTTTGTGTTGGTGGGAGTCTGAAAAGATCTTTCCAACCCAGCTTCGTGACAAGTCTAAGGAGCTTCAACAACTTTTACCCGTTAACTTATTCTTCCCCAGTACTCTCTTATGGGAACAGTTATAGGAAACGGGCATGTCCTAAATCCTGTGTGTGCATCTCAGAAAGGAAGATGCATGCCCAGTGTTTCCCTGGTTTGTAGGCAGAGACGTCTGTTCTTGAGGTATGGGTGATGTGTTCTTAGGAGTTAGACCTATTTTTCTTTCTTGGGATGCTTACCACATCCCTCCTTGTAGGGAAAACTAGCAGACTAGAAAAAAGGCCAACACACCATTCATTTTGTCTTTTAGCCACACTGACCCAAGGCTCCCAGGGACATCTGAGTACTATGAGATGCTCCCTACCTTGGGTGCTGGTGCCAGGGAGGAGATATAAGTATCTGGGCACCTGGACAGAGACATCCCCTGGTGCCTACTAGGGGAGTGGGAAGGACCAGAGGCTTCACAACTCTTGCTACGGGACTTCTGATTTTGCTGGGGATATTGCAGAAAGGGAAGTTTGGGGTTTGGCTCTTTCATCAAAACGGGCCACCATCCTTTTTAGCATGGTTAGGAATGTTAACCCCAGATCCTTTTCAGCATCCTTTGTGACAGCTAGAATATGGCTAAGGCCTGGAAACGACGGCACCCTGAGCCATGTGTCACAGGCCTCTCTCCCTACCCATCTTCTTTCCCCTCCATATAGGTCAGGGCAGATTTTAAGACAGCTATGCCCAGGGCTGGAGAGATGGCTCAGAGGTTAAGACCACTGGTTGTTCTTGTAGAAGACCCGGGTTTGAATCCCAGCACCCACATGGCAGTTAACAACTGCCTGTAACTCCAGACCCAGGGGATCCAACAGCCTCTTCTGACCTTTGCAGGCATTGCACAACACGACTGCACTTACCTACATGCAGGCAACACACACACATACACATAAAACAAAAAAATAAATAAAATTTAAAAAGACAGCTATGCCCCTATTTCATTTATTAAAAGCCATGTTCAGCCCTTCCCCCTTCTCCCTCACCTTTTGGCTCAGATTTGTTAATGTATTGAATTAATTTAAGGGCTGGGAATGTAGTTCAGTGGTTGAGTGGTATACATACAGCCCTGGGCTTGAGTCCCAGCACTACAAGGAAACAAAACAACAGCAGAAGATTTAACTGAAAGGATGGCACACGGCACACCGCCTTACCTTGCCTTCGAAGATCCTTGTGAGCCCATGTAGGGAGGCCTGTGCCACACTCGTGCGATGTTAGAAAAGAGACTTGTCCTTCTCTGTTGGCCTGGTCATTGGAACCTCTGAGAAGCCAATGGCAATATCTCTTTGTACACACACACACACACACACACACACACACACACACACACACACATGCAGTGTGGTCTACTTCCTGAACCCAGCTTTGAATAATTCAAAGATTAGGCCAGATATTCTTGCTCTGAGGGAAATAAATTAAAATGAGTCCAAATGTCTGTCCTATGCTGTCCTCTCTGTCATTCTTTGACTTGTTCTGGGAATCAGGAGGTGTGGTATTTTTCTAGAAGCTACCTTAGATACAGCAGAGGATAGGATTAGTTCACGATTATAAAGTTTGCTGTGAAAGATTTGGCCTTAGTGTGGGGGCCTGAATCTGGTCCTAAGTCTTGACCTTGTGACCTCTAATGACCTCTTTGACATCGAGAAGGACAGTCCCCTGCCTGGGCTTTTGTTCCTTCACTGATAAAATGAGAGTGATAATTGGGAAGGGTTTCCTGGTTCTAAAATTCAATTTCCTGGAGTTCAAAAGTTTGGTGGCTAAACAGTGATAGCCTGGGAGTTGAAAGAAACCAACCGATTCATGATTCACCTAATTACTGTTCACAGATGATGCCACGGAGAAGGACCTTTCTGACCTGGTGTCAGAGATGGAGATGATGAAGATGATTGGCAAACACAAGAATATCATCAACCTCCTGGGGGCCTGCACGCAGGATGGTGAGGAGGAGAGGAGGAGAAGGATGTCTGTACACCCCACTGTTGAGCGCTAGAATCAGACTAGAAACAGTTGGGCTGTTAGGTTCTGTGTCCAGAGTACCTCAAGGCCATGTAGCACACACCTATCTTAGCACTCAGGAGGCTGAGGCAGGAGAATCACAAGTGTGAGGTCAGTCTGGGATACATAGTAAGACTGTCTCAAAAATCAGCCAGCTAGGGGTTGCAGAGGTGACTCAGTAGAACTTGCCTTGCAAGCATGAGGACCTGAGTTGGACATTCAGAATCCATATAAAACATGCCAAGTACTTGTAATCCCAGTGCTGGAGAGGCAGAAGTAGGTGACTGCTGAGGCCTACTGACCTGCTAACTTAGCCGGCCTGGTGAATTCCAGGCCAGGAAGAGACTCTGCCTCAAAAAACAAGGTGGTCATCTGGCGCGCGCGCACACACACACACACACACACACACACACACACACACATTTTAAAGCTGTTTTTACTCTACCCTTGCGAAAATGAAATGTTACCAGCCATGAGTCCTAGGGTTAGGGTGGTGGTGGGAACATCTCTGTCTGCCCCTGGGGATCATGCGAAGTTAGATGTGGGCTTTGAGCTGGGCATGGTGGCACATGCCTTTAATCCCAGCACTTGGGGACTGAGGCAGGCAAATCTCTGTGAGACTGATGTCAACATAGTGAGTTCCAGGCCAGCTGGGGCCACTGGGAGACCCTGCCTCAAAAAGACAAAACAAACAAACAAACAAACAAAAACTATATGCTTTGATTGAGAAGTCCTTCCCTTAAAGTGGGGACTGAGGAATCCTACGGGCAACAGATGGCTGGGCTCCTCAAGCACAGCTTCATAGGGAGAAGGTGGAATGAAGGAGCTCGCCTTCCCCAAAGAGGGATTCTCTGGCTGCTTCCACAGAGCGCTTACTGGAACTTTAGGAATCAACTTGACAGTATGATTCATAAAGCCCAGGTTTGATCGAGCAGTTTCTCCTTTAGGTCTGTGTAGGAACTGGTGACCTTTTCTGTAAAAGCCAGTTGTAGATATTTTAGACTTTCACGGACCTATGGTCTCTGTTACAAATATTCACCACTGCCCTTGTATTGAGAAAGCAGCCTCAGATGATACAGAAATGAATCGGCCTGGCTGTGTGGCAGTAAAACATGGTGACCCAGACATGTCATCATGCTGGGCAGGATTTGGCCTGAGGGCCATTGTTTGCCAGCTCTTGAGTCTACACATGGAAAGACGGTGGCACATCTGCATAGGAAACGTGTACGGCAGCATTCCTCACCCACTCTTTGTTATGATAGAAGCCTGGAAGCAACCTGAAGGCCATTATCAGAGGACATGTGGCAGATTCATGATGGAGCATGTGTAGCTGTGAGGAAGAAATGATCTAGATTGATTTTTTTTTTTTTTACCAATGAAACCAATTCTATTTTAAGTGAAAATACTGCAGTGTTTACCATTATCATTTATGTGGTTAAAATATATATATTTTAAACTGGGTGTGATGGAGCACACTTGTAATCCTAGTGTGCAGGAGGCTGAGGCAGGAGGACCATAAGTTTGAGACCAGTCTAGGTTATGTAGTAAGACTCAAAGAACAACTATATCCACCAATCTATGTATGTGTCTATAATATATATAATAACGTGCTCATATATTATCACATAAATATAGCTCTATATAATTGACATATATGCACATATAGTGTTTCAAAGGAACTGTAAAGAGCAGTTTTTGCTCTTGGTTGGTTGTTGCTGTTCTGGGCAGGCAGAGGGGCAGGAAGAAGGGAAACCAGGGAAAGTTATTGCAACTGTGTTTTTCTTTTATTTCTTTAAACTTTTGGAGGTTTTCCTGTTGATTATCATTTTGGAGAGATTTGAATGCAAGTGTTCTGTTTCTATACATGCTTTTCTGCAATGATAAACCTAAAAGTTAAAAACGAAGAAGAAAGAGCTGGGGGTGTAGTTTGGTGGCAGACTGTGCCTAACACTGACATAGCGTGTTCAAGGTCCTGAGTTTGATCCCCAGCACCACAAAAAACACACTGGATTGTAATGACTAAAAACTGTTTACTGAGTTGCCCAAGGACGGATTCTGCCTTCACTGCCTTAGGAAGCTTCTCCCCTCTGTCACCAGGGCCTCTCTATGTCATCGTTGAGTACGCTTCAAAAGGCAACCTTCGGGAATACCTGCGAGCCCGGAGGCCACCTGGTATGGAATATTCTTATGACATTAACCGTGTTCCTGAGGAGCAGATGACCTTCAAGGACTTGGTGTCCTGTACCTACCAGCTGGCTCGAGGCATGGAGTACTTGGCTTCCCAAAAAGTGAGTCGTCTGCTCGGCTAGTTGTAAGCCAATTAAAAGTGCCTTTGAAGAAACTGGGCAGTTTGGACCTGCCCATTCACTTGATCAAGTTCTTGCATGTCGGTACAACCTGGAAAATATTTATGACGTTATTCACATTTGAGTTTAATGAACCCTTGAAAGGCTGGGAGCAGCCTCACAAACTCCTACCGACTGCAGGAAAGTTGACTGTGCTCTGAGACAGGGTGGGTGGGATGCTGTTGAGATGCAGCTCCTGGTGTGGGCTTCGTGTGTTTTGTGCTGTTGAGCTCATGCACATAGACGACTTCTGGTGACACATTCTGGATGCTGAGCTTGCTATGGCGTTAAATAGTCTGAGGAGGAAGATCAAACACAGGTGTATTTTAGAAACATCAAATCTAGGATATCTGAGTTTATTTTGTCTCCTTCAGTGACTCTGTGGTTAGAGCTTGGCCAGGTTCCCTGAGGTGAATCGTTGGCATTCCAAGCATGCCACTTACAATGAACTCTAAACATTCCAATTATTCTGGAAGCTGTTAGACAGGTGCCCAGAGCCTACACTGGTACAGCAGAGGACCCAAGACATCCTTCCTGAGTCCCAGAAGGACCTTTATGGGTAGAGGAGGGCTCTCAGCTCCTACCTGGGGGAGCTTATTGCTGGATCTCGAAGTCTTCAGGTGTCCAAAGAGATGAGATCCTCTGGTGGTGGCTCCTCTGCCACCCTGAGCTTGGGCTGCTTGAAGGGACTTAATCCTGGATCCCCCAGGGGCATTGCTAATGTCAACAGTGAGTGAGGTGACCTGTGTCAGATCAGCGAAGTGCAGGGACTCAAGGGATGATAGCTGCACCTCAGTCTTGCTGTCTATCCTGTAGGAGCATGGCCCAAAGTATCGTCTGTTCTGTGTTCTGCAGGTTTTGTTTGTTTCCTTCTCTGATTTTCCAGAGTTGACAGCTTAGAACTTTTCTTTTTCTTTTTTCTTTTTCCCTCTGTAAACCTTCCCAATAGAACTTTTTAAAAAGACCGGTGTGAACAGTTTTGAGTTCTGATTTTATACACATGCACATACACAGGGGTAGTTTGCCATTCAGAAAATCTTTGGCATGAGGAAGCCTCCAGATAGATCCATAATGTGGGACATTTGACAAGACATCCTTTCAAAATGACTGTGTTGTGGAAATTAAAGCATGCTGCGGAGGGCTGGGGGCAGTAGTTCAGTTAGTAGAGTGCTTGCTTCCCTTGCATGGAGGAAGCCCTGGGCTCTATCCCCAGTGCTGCATAAGCTGGGCATGGTGGTGCCCATCTATAATCCTGGCCCTCAGGAGGTAGAGTCAGGAGAATAGAAATTTAAGGTCATCTTTAACTAAGTATTGAGTTTGAGGCTAGCCTGGACTAGGTAAGACTCTATTGAGAGAGACAGAGACACAGAGAGAGGTTGTTGTTTCAGATTAAAGGAGGCTAAAGAGAGGACCACCAAACGCAGAAGTGTGATGCTCTGGGGCTGGTTCCTTGGAATGGGGATGGAAGTCAGATTTACCAAGGACACTGTAAGCAGCCGGTGCTTGAGCCTGGGCTCTGGCTTAAACAACATTGCTGTATCCAGATTGAATTTGGACAGGGGGTGATTTATGGGTGGGGTATCTCTTACCGCCAAACACCAGAAGCATCAGGTTTTGAGGGTTTTTTCAGGGGGATATTTGTAATATTTATTTACCGATATGTAATTCCGCTTTCTAAATGAAACCCAAGTTTGCTAGACACAAAATCCAATTGTTTTCTATCAACTATAGTCACATAGCCAGCAGGTATCTTTGCATAATATTTTTAATGATTTGATGCATGAAACAGAGTTTATGATCTAGAATTTTCCACTTATGGCATTCTGTCAATGTTGAAAATGTTTTAGATTTTTGGATTAGTAAATGCTGAGGAGCCTAGGATGTGAAGTAGCGATGGTGTTTGTGACTCACTTTTGAATTGCTCAGCCATAAAACATATGCCTGGGGTTTGTGTGTGTTTGTGGTCTAGTATGTTTGTTTGGGTATGTTTGTTCTATGTATGTGTGTTGTATATGTTGTATGTGTATGTGTTTCTCTGTGTGTTATATGTTTGCATGTATATGTGTCTCTGTGTGCTGTGTGTGTATATGTATATGTATTTGTGTGTGTCATGTGCACATGTGATGTGTGTATAGTGTGTATATGTCTATTGTATATATATTAGGCACATCTGTGATGTATGTGTATGTATATGTGTATATGTTCTGTGTGCATATGTATCTGTCTGTGTATTGTATGTATGTGTGGTGCGTATGTATATGTGTATGTGTAAAGGTTGGACATAGAATAAACAAGTAAGTGTCATGAACAAATCTGGAAAACATGGGTAGCTGTGGCATTGTTGCAGGTTGAAATATTTGCACTCTTTTATGTGGAACTGTGGGGCAGGCAGTCAGCTACAGGCAGTCTGTTAACTTCTCCAGGCTTGGTCACTTGGAGCACCCCTTGGTGGGAGGTGGGGGAGTGTTTCTGTATCCAGCAGGGCCTGCTGCTGACATGAAAGTGGTGGGAGAACAGGTGTCCTCGTTTTCCTCAGTCCTTGAACAAGTATTTGTTCATAATTTTCCCCAGACCCCATTCTCTGTGTCAGGCTGTCCAGTGAGATGGCCAGAACAGACATTGTCCTTGTCTTCCTAGAACAGGAACCACAACAGTAATAGAAATTGCCAATACATGTGTAATTAAAAATGAATATCTAGCCAGGCATGGTGGCGCACGCCTTTAATCCCAGCACTTGGGAGGCAGAGGCAGGCGGATCTCTGTGAGATTGAGGCCAGCCTGGCCTACATAGTGAGTTCTCTAACAGCTGAAGCTACAGAGAGACACTGTTGTCTCAAAGCAACAACAAAGATCATAGAAACTGTTAGGAAACACTGTGATAAAGTCCTACTCATTCTGGGCCTTAAAGTCTCAGGCAGGGACCCTGGACTTGGCCCTAGAGGCTGTCCAAACCCATTGAGGGTATTAGAGTCACTTATATGCCGTACAGTTCACTCTTGCTGCTGCTGTGCGTGGACTGGAAACACTGAGTCTCTCTGCAAGGGGTAGTGGTTTAGGCCATGCTTTGTCAGGTCCCAAGACACTGAAAGAAGATGGTAGGTAGAATTTGGGCAGGCTTTGCTATCATGAGCATGGGTTGATTAGGTGAGGGGGATAAAAGCAATTGAAGAGTTCCTGGTATCCAGAGTGTGAAACTGGACAGCGATGTAGTTTCCCAAGGCAAGGAAGATCTGGGAGTCAGGAAGCAGGGCCGGGAGTAATTTTGGTTAAAAATGCAGAGTTCATGTTGAACATATTCAAGAGTAATCAATGGGAGGAGCCACCCAGCAAGCCACAGGCTGAAGCCCAGGTCTGAGGCCCAGCTGTCATGAATGTTGCCAAAAGGGAATGAGAACATTTTAGGGGACAGAACTGGAGGTGTGTGTGGAAGTGCCCTTAAGAACAGCATTGTGATAATAATAGTGGTTACTGTTATTAATTGCAAGTCATCTTTTGAGAGCCTAGATCGGCTGAGCACAGTGGCCACAAGTATCTGATACAGAGTGTATCAAGTGTATGAAGGTCATCTACTAGAGGTAGGCTAGGGCCCCCTTATGGGGAAGGGTGCTGGGGAACAGCCAGGGCATGGCAGGGATACTTTGAGTTTTACATTGTTTATAAAATCCTTGCTATTTTTAGTTCAATACTTTTTTAAAGAAATCTCTGCCATCCTCATCTGTGAAATGGGTATGATCACACCCATCTCATGGGTCACCCTGAGGATTATGTAAGATCAGCCATGGCCCAGCACACTGTCTGCATCGTAGGTGTGTTGGCCTTCCTTCCTTTCACAACCTCCTACAGAAAAAGAGGGAATCCCTAACAGTCCTAGGGCCTTCATTGTATAAACAGTCAGTGCTCTGGGCTGGAGAACAACTCAGCTTTCTGTGCATGGTGGGATTTGGCTTGCCTTTAGCTGTTCCCTTTTTCTTGGACACTGGTTCCAAATCCTCCATTCAGCCCTTGGTGTTGCCCGACATCCTGGGATGAAGGGTGACCAAGATGGTGACAGTTGTCATAGCACTTGAGCCCTGATGTGTGGTCAGAGCCCCATACAGGGGAAACCAGATTCTTCTGACCACTCAGCTTGCCAAACACACAGAGTGCATGTCAGCAGGAGCATGCCACCGGGAAAGCTTGGCCCGGACCCTGGAAGTTGAATCTGAGGAGGCCTCCAGACCGGCAACGTGCTCCAGCCCAGGCGGAGCTGCACGCAGCCTTGGGAACGCTCACATTTCCCGCTCCTAGTCTGGCCAGGGCCATGTAGACTTGGGTGGTTCGCCCGCTTCTCCGTCTCTGATCTTGGCCTGCCCACACATGCTAGTGAACACAAGGGATGCTTGGGGGTGGATGAGAGCAGAGTGAAAATAGTTCCTATTTCAGAGGCAGTTATGTTTGTTCCTTTTCCATTTGGTCATTTCATGCAGTTTACAATAGGTCATTCCCAGCCCCACTTGTCCTGTGGATTAAGAGTCTCTGCTTCATGTGATAGTTAACCTTTGCCCAGAACCTGCGTAAAGGCATTTGATGGTGATGCTTGCTCCATTGTACCACACCCCTTCAAAAATAGAGGTGGGTGAGTAGGGACCCAAATTATCATGTATTTTCATGCAATGGCATGTTAAAGTACAACCAAAACATAATAGCTTACAAAAGCATGCCCTTTGTAGACAGGAAACGTAGAAGCTGTAATAACTAGACCTTTCTAGACCATAGTTACTGTTGGGATAACGCATCTGCCTGTCAGCTGTGCCATAGCAAGTGTCGCAGCACTCGGTCCTGATGACTTGTGCAGACAAAGTGTGCCCCGCCCCCCACAGGCTAGTTGTAGTAACAGGCTGGACTGACAATGTGGATACTTGGGCACTGGCTGAGCAGTGAGCCAGAGAGGCCACATGGGGCTATGTCTGAAGCACAAGTTGCACAGGGTATGGAAGGGGAATTGGACTGAGTTTGGAATCGAGGAAGCCTTTGGGCAGTCAAGGTAGCTGTCCACAGGTGCAGGGGGCAGACATGGCCACAGCCTGGTCTAAGGGATCAGCAGTGGGGAACAGACTGTGGAGACATTTTGGAACAAACAAGACGTGAGCGTAGAGCATGGTGGTATGAATCATTCTGATTAAGGACCAAAGAGGATAGGAATTGGGGGCGTAGAAACCTCAACTTCTGAGATGTCACAAGGACGTCAGTGTCCATGAAGATGTCCCAAAGTAAGTCGATGATGAGAAAGAACATGGGTCTCAGCAGAAAGGCCAGGATGGAGGTGGGGTTTGCAGGCACTTGCTGTGTCTAACCCTTGATACTGTGAGGAAAGAAGGAAGCATACAAACCAAAGGTTTCTCTGTCTACTTTTGAGGGTCAGGGGAAAGGAGAGCCAGTCTAGGAGTCTGCAAGGTTTGGGGAGGCATCAGTGAAAGAATGGCTTCTAGGAATGGACATGTATGTTGTCTAAAGCCACAGAGAGGAAACAAGTGGGGGTGTTAGAAGAGGTCATCAGCACCTAACAGTGAAGAATGTCTTCACATATTGTAGAAGCAGAGGTGAAAAGGGAACACAAACGTTATAGAACTAGACCCTCCTGACACCGAAGTGTTTGTAGGACATCAGGTCAGAGTGTTAGAGAAATGCCCAGGAGATGAAGATGTGAGGTTGGCGCTTAACCCACTAATCTGAAAATCGGATATAAAGATCCGGAAAGCAAGTGTTGAGATTAAAAATTTTAGGATGATTAATGTTGAGCTTGTATGAGGCTGCAAAGGGGATACTGCGGGTGTAGGTCTTACAGATAAAAGAGTACGTTGTTAGATGATCAACTTTTGCTCTCTGAAATGACTGGGGCCTCGGTTGATTTAAATCAGAAAATGAATACGAGTATCCTGTTTGGGGCTTTTGATGATCCTAGTCAACCTGTTGAATCTTATAGCCCGAAGATGGCTCTTTTAGTATGCTATAAGCAGTCTTTGATTTAAGGCGTATTTTCTGTCTTATGGTTTGAAAATTGAGTGTGTTTTCCCTTTGATTCTTGACTCAATTTGAGGTTATTTCTTTCCCTTCCTTCTGTCTTGATTGCAGTGTATCCATCGAGATTTGGCAGCCAGAAATGTATTGGTAACAGAAAACAACGTGATGAAGATAGCAGATTTTGGCCTGGCCAGGGATATCAACAATATAGACTATTACAAAAAGACCACAAATGTAAGTCTGTGGCATAACAGGGCAGGGGGGTGCAGAGTGACGGAAGTTCATCGGTGGAAGAACCATGGAGTGCATCCTCCACATTTCATTCTGTCATTTTTGCTTAACTCTTCATAAGCAAATCTAGACCATATTTAAGATAGGTTTGGTAAGCACATAACACTCTTTTATACATAATACTAATCAACAGCCTCCATGGTAGTCATATGACTCAAGTCTAGAAGTTCGCTGGGTTCATTTTTACCTAGAAGCTGGTCAGGGCGTGTCTGTGTGTTGGGGAGATAGTTCGCAATGACAATCCAAACAGAGGAGGCACTTTGACACTTTATCCATAGAACCAAATCTGTGTGTCTCAGCTATTATGTACAGAGCTGGTTGGAGCTTATTTCTGCCCTAGTGGTGGGCTGATGAAACCCATTAGAAAGTCTGCTGTTCATGCAGAGGGTGAGGTGGACACTGTGAGTGCCGGGGGAACACAGGGCTAGCTAGAACTGAATGGCCTGACCGTGGAGGAGGGATGAGATTTGGACCCAAATTCAAGACAGGCTCGAGTGGGGAAAGGAGGAAGAGACAGAAACCCCATCCAGTTTCTAGACCTGAATCCTGGAATCAGTCAGGAAATTCTAAGACTTAATCCGAGGCTAGATCTGGCATCTTGGTTTTTATAGAGATGAGATAATAGACGCCCCTCATGTCACTGTATTAATTTCCTCTATGATTCTACTACTGTCAAGGCTTGTCCCCAGGACTTAGCTCCCTTCCTCCAACACTGTAGGATCAGCCCTACTCAGAACCCCGCCGATCCCGAGTCTTTTATTTTAAATGGCAATGAGATTAGGAAGCCAGGCCTGATGGCTCAGAGACTGAGGCAGGAAGATCAAGGGTTCAAGTTCTGCCTGGGCTACAGAATGAGATAGCTGATGCTCTTACACATGGCATGACCCTTTTGAGCCTGCTGCTTTTTAACCTGTGGCTTTTTACATTTTCTTCATATTTGCAGGGGCGACTTCCAGTCAAGTGGATGGCTCCTGAAGCCCTTTTCGATAGAGTATACACTCATCAGAGTGATGTGTGAGTAACTCCTATCTCTGGCTCCTCCATGGGGTTGAGTTGCCTAAGTATTGCATGTTCTATATGGGCACAGAGAGCATAGTCAAGGACAGAGGCGGGATGAGTTCATGGTAGACTGGTACCCAGTGTTTAGTTACTGATCTGCTTGCCTTCAATCACCTACCAGAATGGAAGCATCCTCTGCCCATCACTGATGGCAGATGTGTAACCACCAAGCTTTTCTTCATTTTCCAAGCAGGAGGCATACTCTTTAGTCCCTTAAGTACTCCAAGCTAGGCCTGGTGATACATGTACCTATAATCTCAGCACTCAGGAGACCGATGCAGGAAGATCATAAGTTCAGGACTCCATGTGGCAAGTTGAAGGCCAGCCAAGGATATGTAGTGGGAACCTGCCTTTACAAAGTAAAGAAAGAAAAGAAAAGAAAAACCCTTCCCCAACCTCCGAAATCCTTCCTATTTTAGATGCATGTGGTTCTGACCCAGACTTTCCTTAGAGTGTGATGCTAGATGAGGCATGGTCAGCTAGGAAGATCTCCATCTCCGCATATCTGCTTGCTGTGGTTATTCTGAAGAAAAAAAAAGAAGAAGAAAAAGAAGTTTCGTCAGCCTCTGATAACATTCTAGAAATAAAGTAGAATTGCAGTCTTTCAATGGTGACTCACATAAAACCAGTTAGAGCCAGGCTCCAGCTGATAGTGTAGATTTGGAAATTTAGTTGAAAGGTTTTATTGGGAGAAACTGAGTTAAAGATGCTGTTTTTCTAGTTCCTGTAGCCCTTTGATTATTCCAAAGGGTGAAGTTGTTTTGTTTTAATTCGATGAACGGGCTTGGGGGACAAGCAGGAGAATTTCTGGGGTGGACATTGATTCTGAGCCAACCTGCTTGGTCCTGTCAGCCATCCTACAAGGAAGAAGTCACAGTTCCCATTTGTGCAGTCAGCAAACCGCAGCTCGGAACTGGTTTTTTTCAGTGTTGAAACTGACCTCATAGAGTCAGTATGAGTGAGTGTGCAAAGCCCAGGACCAGGAAACCCAGGAGTCTCTGCTTGATTCAGAGCTATAATTGTCTGAAAAGTCAATTATAAATAGCACCCTATGAGGTGTTTTCATTTTCTGCAGGGGCACGTAATTCTTCCACGCTAATCCTAGCTCCATGCTGACTCCCTTCGCCTTTGCCCTGTGGGTGCTCCCCCAGCCATCTAGGGCAGCCATCCTCTTGAAGACCCGCTCTCAGACCTTCTTCTGTCATCTGTAGACCCAAGACCTTGTGTCAGCCACACAGGAGACAGAGGGGTTAGACAGCATGGAGTGGAGGAGTCCAGATCCTTGCGTCTATCCTATGGCATTTAAAACAAAGAACTTTGAGAGTGCCGGTGGTAATCTCTTTGTCTATTGATGGAAAATTCCATCAGACCATCCGCATGTCATCCTCATTTAGGGAGGCTCCATGGGGTCAGGAAAGGGCGTGTAGGATGGATTGCTGGAGGGCTCATTTATCTATGGACCTAAGAAGTGAGTGGGTGTTTATTTTTTTAACTGACATGTTTAGGTTTCTGCGATCTGGGTATATTAGTAATGCTGTTTTCTCTCTTCTTCGCAGCTGGTCCTTCGGGGTGTTAATGTGGGAGATCTTCACTTTAGGGGGCTCACCCTACCCAGGGATTCCTGTGGAGGAACTGTTCAAGCTGCTCAAGGAAGGACACCGGATGGACAAACCAGCCAACTGCACCAATGAGCTGTAAGGGCTTTGGCCTCCCTGGCTGGCTGGGGGCAGGGCTGGGGGAGCTTGCCACATCTGTCCTGTCTCTCCAGACATCTCGGGTTCCTCAGGCCCCCATTTTCTAAACATGCTCTAAGTAGACAAATTGCTGAAGCTGTCTGGGCTCAGTCCCAGGACTGAGATAGATGGCTACACTGACAACCATGCTTGCCCAAAAGAATGAGTATTCCTCCAAAGTGTATGCGGTGGGCTTTAAATCACAGGGGGTGTCTGGCAGTGTGGAGGGGAGAGCCGGCCCAGAGTGCCGGACCACAGAGTGACATCAACAGACACGGACCAGGTATCAAGCTAAATGCCACAGGGCTGCCCTTGTAGGTGTATAGGTTTGTTCACAGGCATGGCAAGGCAAGCAGAAAATGTGTGTTTCCAAGAACACCTTTGACCATTGAAAATTGCCACTGCAGCAGGACAGGCTTATACCTGTAATCCCAGCACCCAGGAGGCCAAAATAGGAGGATTCCATGAGAGTGAGACCCTGACTCAGTAGGTAGGTAGGTGGTAGGTAGGTAGGTAGATGGATGGAAGGAAGGAAGGAAGGAAAGAAGAAAGAAAGAAAGAAAAGAAGGAAAGAAAGAAAACGTCCATGCAATTATGAGGGCCTGAGTTGGATCCCAGAACCTACATAAAAAGCTGGGCATGGTGCCATGTGCCCATAGTCCCCTGGGCTGTGTTCGTGGAGACACAAGGATCCCTGTGGCTTGCTGGGTAGCTCATTTGGCAAAGTGCTTGCTATGCAAGCATGAGGACCTGAGTTTGATCCCTAGCACCCACATTTAAAAAAAAAAGAGCACAGTGGTATGCACTTGTAACCCCATAGACCAGAAGGATGAAGACAGGAAGATCCCTGGGGCTTGGTAGCCAATCAGCCTAGCCTAAAAGTAGTGAGCCTCCGGTCTCAGTGAGAGACCCTGTCTCAGAAAATAAGGTGGATGTCTCCTGAAAAACAAGTCTCAAGGTTGACCCCTGGTTTCCTAATGTGTGTACACACACGAAACAAAATAAAAATAAAGAGAACTGCCATTTCATCAACAACGCTTCCTCAGAATGAATGGACTAGTGTCTGGTTACTCACATTTCACCCAAGCTTCTAGAGCAGAGACGTAAAAATCTGTGCTGGTGCCATTGTTAGGATGCCATGTCTGAGTGTAAATGCACACTCAGAGGGTTCTCAAAAAGCCCTCCTCACACGAAGTAAAGTTGTGTTGTGTTAATGGTGTAATGGTGCGTGCCTCCTCAGTAGTGGAATCTGGGCTTTGCCGAAGTGGTGCCACCCCTCCCCCCAAGGTGAACTAAGAAAGCGATTGTCCCGGAGACTGCGTGCTATTGTGTGTTGCTTCATGGGGATTTTATGCCCGTAATCCCCTGAGAGCTTTCTGGTGTACAGTAGAAGTCTGATGAATGGCCACATTTTATAGCATATTATATAAAGGCATTTATTGTGTGCCTTATGTTCCTGTCGCTTTTTCTAACATAGAGGGTCTGTCAACTCATAATCAAGATAAGGCCGGGAGGCTGGGCCTATCAGAGTTAATCAGGAAGTCAGTGTGAAGCAGTGGTAGATTAGTTCATAGAAACCTTCAAGTTGTGGCTTCTGAACTTTTTTTTCAAACTGAGGAAACTTTGTCAACAGAATGCTTAAAACAAAACCCAAAGCATGGTTCAGGTGACGTGTTTCGGCAGGGAGAATAGAGACTGGCTGTACAGATGTGACTCCTTCGTCATCTAGAGGCACCTGGGAAGTGTGACACGGTGTTGTAGTGTCATAGGGACAGCAGCAAAACACACAGCTGTGTCTTTCTGGATGCAGAGTCGCCCTCCAAATCATTCTGGGTTGCAGGGATGGTTTTTGTAATGAAGTGCTTAGTTACATACTGTCTCTTAAAGCCAGCTATGTCTGTGCATTAGGTTACTTAATGATGTTAATTCACCAGAGAAATCCTTTTTTTCCCCCAGGTATATGATGATGAGGGATTGTTGGCATGCGGTCCCTTCGCAGAGACCCACGTTCAAGCAGCTGGTGGAAGACTTGGATCGAATTCTCACTCTCACAACCAATGAGGTAAAAGCCTTCTTCTCAGAGCCCAGGGACCCTGCCTGGCTGGGGAGATACCCGGTTGTTAAATGTAAGCTCTTGTTGGAGTCTGTGGTAGCGTTTATCATTTTTCCACAAGGGTCAGGCAGAGTTAAATGGTGTGTTCCTTTCCAGTCAAGATTTTTCTCAGAACTTCATTTTGTGAATTCTGACTCATGAAACCAGAGACTGAGGGCCTCCTGAGCTGTCCTCCCAGTGGCTGGTGGTGCTGTGGCCCAGGGTGTGTGTGGAGGAGAGGGGAAGAAGAAATGTTGGGTTGTAGCATTTTGGTGTGTGTGGGAAGGAAAGGGATGTACATTACGTGCTCCCTTGATCCTGTGCCCTGGAAGTTGGCTTGAAAGCAGCCTGAGGGAAGGCAGTGAGGTTCTGTGGTTCTAACTTGTGTTTAACTCAGCACTGCCTTACGAGAGCCTTGTCAGGAGGGTCCGTGTCTTATACCTCTTTCCATATACATTTAAACACACATGCAGATTCCTTTAATGAATGATTTATAAGATTAAGTGACAACTGGTACCTGTGATTAAAATCTTTATTTTAGTGACTGAAGAGGTAGTTCAGTAGGTAGAGTGCTCACTGCATAAACGTGAGGACCTGAGTTTGATCCCCACAGCTCACATAAAAAGCTAGGGCTGATGTGAACTTGTAATCCTAGCACTGGGGAGACAGAGACAGGTGGGTCCCTGAGGCTCGCTGGCCAGCTGGCCTAGCCCAATCAGCGAGCCCCAAGTCCCAATAAGAGACCTGTTCTTGTAAAACAAAGCAGACAGATCCATCCTGAGGAATGACATCCAAGATTGACCTGTGGCCTCTACACACTTGTACACATGCACACACATGAACACACACACACAACATTACTTTCTATAAGATATTTATAATCTATGACAACCAAAGAAATAGTTTTCTGTTAGTGTCAAATACAGCCAATACGTGTGGCTTCAACATAGAACAAACAGCCTTTAGGGTTATGGAAAGCTGATAGACCCACACAGTCTAGAGCAACCCCCGTGATAGAAGTGATTTGTGAATTTGGAGATATTCCATGAGGGTACAGAACAATATTCCTCCATGGAGAAAAAGGGTTTACAGTTGTTTTCACAACAATAAAAGTTTAAAAATATCCCAAGTACTTTTGAAGGGTAAGAATACAGATAATTTCTGATTTAGAAAACAGTGATGTTAAAGACAATAGAGCACTTAAAAAACAAAAAAAAATGGTCAAATGTGGTGACCTGAAGCCTTAATGCAGAAGCTGTGTCTTGTGTGCTGGGCTGCAGCTTGTGCTGGATAAAGGGCTTTCATTTAAATGAACACAGCTGACCTTCAGAAGTTGAAAGGAAAGAAATAGTTCAAGGGGGGAGAAAAAAGCCAGCTTTCTTCTCCTGCCAAAATTGTTGTTTCTAGTATAAGTTCCTTTAACCCTAGGCTTGGAATCCAATGATAGTCTATTTTTCCCCCTATCAGATCTGAAGGTTACAGCTTCATTTAGAAACTGAGGAAAACACTAAAGTTCTCTTTTAATGATCTCATGTCGATGCACAGAGTTATACATTTATTTATTTATGTGTAAAGAGGGCCCCACGCCTACTGAAATTTATATGTGGCAACCTGAAATAAGAAAGCAAAATGCCATATTGTCTAACGGATATAAAAATCGAAGTTTCTTCCCTTCTTAAAATCATTACCACATGCTTGAGAAAAATGGTTCCATTTAGGACAAATTTTCATTTTTATCATTGTAAGCAAAAAGTCCTCTTTTGATGTGGTGGGCGTGCTTGTTTCTGGTTGTGCGGCTAATGTTGATGTTGTTGGAACCGACACATCCCCCTTCTGGGCTGGGGACTCTTTCTCTTGCCAGCCCTGGTGATGAATTATAGTGGTTTTTGTCTTTTAAAATGTACGGTCGCCAACATTCCATGGGCCCTTTGCTGATAACGCTGAGGCTGTTTGTGCTGTGGTCAGTGCTTTTTGCCCCCTCTCAGCAAAACTACACATCCTAGAAAAGTTGCTGGCTTCTGGGTATGTAGAGCCACCCCAACATGCCAGCACAGTTGAGGCAGAGAGACCAGGGAGGTCCCCACTTAGAAATCTTTTGGGGCTGGGGATGTAGTTGAGTTGTTAGAGTGCTTGCCTAGCATGCACGAAGCCCTGAGTTCAATCCCCAGCATACATTGGAAGTGATGGGCAAACTTGTAATCCTAGTAGTCCAGAGACAGAAGCAAGAAGATCATAAGTTCAAGGTCATCCTCAACTACATAGCAAGTTTGAGGGTAGTCTGAGATACATGAGACTCTGTTTCAAAGAAAAAAACTTTTTTTCCTAGCTTCAGACCAGGGTCAGCCAGTGTTCTGTAAGGGCCAGAGAGTAAACATTTTCAGCTTCGAGGCCATATGGTCTCTGTCGAAAGTCTGCCATCATAACATAAAAGCAGCCCCTAACTCTATGTAAATAAATGAGTGTCTGTGTTCCACTAAAACCTTATGGACCCTGAAATTGGGAAATTTATATAACTTCATATGAATTTTATATCATTTCATGTCATTGGATGCTGTAAGACATGACTCTTAGTTTGATTTTTTTCACCCATTTACAAACGTCAAGAAGTGTCCTTAGTTTGTAGGCCACAAAAAAAAAACATGCAGTGGGCTTGTACCCTGTCTCAAGTTGGAGGAAGAGGAATCCTGAACCACCCAGTGGGATCTCAGCAGTGGATGCTTTGGGGAGCAGAGAAACTTTCTGAATTTCAAACCTTCAAAACTGAAACTTCTCTTTCCCTAAACTTTCCTTTAACAGCCCATTATGGGTTTAACATCCATGAGGGTATCCAAGCCTTTTTGAACCTGTTTACATTTTTAACTCAGAGAGCTTCTGAGAGTAATAAGTTACATCTGTTAAATTATGCACTCAATGAAGAAGAATTCCCCCTAAATTATCCTAGAAACAACAACAGTAGAATGCAATTCAGAAAATAAATATTCATGGCCTGGCTATGTTAAGGGTCCTGTTGTGTGTTTCTGCTTCGCTGGGACTTAAAACTTGAACCACGAGTTCTAGTGAAGAGGTGCATAGTAGGTCGCCTAGGTCCCTGCATGTGACAAGGTGACTGCCTAGCACCAACAGTTTAACATGGTTTTAGCATTGTCTTCTGTTGACGGTTTGTTGATGATGAATTGCAAGACAAAAGTTAAGGACAGTCTAGAGTTGGGGTCTCAGGGAGGTCTTTGTGCAGTCGGGGTGAGCTGGACCTCTGCAATGATTCCAGGGGGGGCTCCCCTGACCTTTCCTGAATCTGATAGTGACATCTCAGGAGCCTGTGTTTGAAATCCAATTCTTCTCTTCCCTTCTTTCAGGAATACTTGGATCTCACTCAGCCACTCGAACCGTATTCACCTTGTTATCCTGACCCAAGATGAAATAAAACGTCTCTCTTCCCTTCTTTCAGGAATACTTGGACCTCACTCAGCCTCTCGAACAGTATTCTCCTAGTTACCCCGACACGAGAAGCTCTTGTTCTTCGGGGGATGACTCTGTGTTCTCTCCGGACCCCATGCCTTATGAACCCTGCCTGCCTGAGTACCCACACATAAATGGCAGTGTTAAAACATGAGCAACTGTGTCTTCCTGTCCCCCAAGGGGACAGTGCCAAGAACCCTAACGACACTGAGTAGGGAGGCTGTGCCTCCGAGAGCTTGTGGCCTCTGCTTGTATATATGGATCAGAGGAGTAAATAATGGGAAACGTATTTGACACACATGTAAAGATTTATACAGTTGGAAAATTCGTCACCTTCACCAGGAGAGGAAGAATGTTTTGGATCAGTGGACAGCCATCACCCTCTGACCCACCTTGTGTACTGGCTGCACCCCCCGGTTGAACTCAAGGCAGACACACATTCTGCCTTCCTTGTTAATTTTGTAATAATTGGAGAAAATATATGTCAGCACACATTTACAGAGCACAAATGCAGTATATAGGTGCTGGATGTATGTAAATATATTCAAATTATGTATAAATATATATTATATATTTACAAGGAATTATTTTTTGTATTGATTTTAAATGGATGTCCTGATGTACCTAGAAAATTGGTCTCTCTTTTTTAAATAGATATTTGCTAAATGGTGTTCTTAGAATTTCTTAATTTTCACCGAGCAGAGGTGGGAAAAATACTTTTGCTTTCAGGGAAAATGGTATTA